CTGCCAAATACCATAATCTGTCAGTCGTTTTTTCAAGTAAAAAGAGTGCTCCATGAAAAAAGGAGCTAGTTCAGTTTACAGTCCACACAATTGCCTTTCCTTGAGAGAGCTCTCATACATTTATACTCAGCACAAGTGCTGTATGCATATTTCTCATGTTGTCACACAGAAACATGAAAAAGATATGTATTCAGGGGTTGAGATTCATAATTTTTACTGCTTCATCTAATATTCCCAAATAAAACATCTTACATTCCTAAGTGAAACTGCCTTTTTTTTTTTCTTTTGAGATAGTCTCATTTTGTAGCCTTCTGTAGAGTGCTGTGGTGTCATAGCTCCCAGCAACCTCCAACTCCTGGGCTCAAGTGATCCTCTTTTTTTCTTCAGTTTTTTTGGCATATGGGGCCTGTGCCCTACTCCTTTGAGCCACAGGCACCGCCCATCCTCTTTTTTTTTTTTTTTTTTTTAAGAGACAGAGTCTCACTTTATCACCCACAGTAGAGTACAAGGGAATCACAGCTCACAGCAACCTCCAACTCCTGGGCTTAGATGACTCAGCCTCCCAAGTAGCTGGGACTACAGGCACCCGCCACAGTGCCCAGCTATTTTTTGTTGCAGTTTGGTTAGGGCCGGGTTCAAACCCACCACCCTGGGTTTATGGGGCCTGCCATGTCCTACCCACTGAGCCACAGGCACCGCCCCTCGAGTAATCCTCTTGCCTCAGCCTCCTAAGTAGCTGGGACTATAGGGGCCTGCCACAATACCTGGCTACTTTTAGAGACAGGTTCTCGCTCTTGCTCAGGCTGGTCTCGAACTCCTGAGCTCAAGCAATCCACCTGCCTTAGCCTCCCAGAGTGCTAGGATTACAGGCATGAGCCGCTGCGCCGGCCCTGCTTTTTTTTTTAATGAGTGAGCACCAGAAGAGAACACAGTGACCACTAGAACAGTTTGGTACGACTGCCTTGACTCTTGCTCATGTGCTAGCAGTTTTACCCACTACTGCTTTTGTTCTATCATTGCAAATGTTAACACAGTAAAAAGGGCAAGTACGATCATCTTAGTGTAAAAATAGTTTTAAAATTCAATAGTGGGATAACCCGCTCAAAACCACTTCCATTGTGTTGGAAGCTTTCCTAATCTTCTAATAAACTATTGCTCTTTCACTCAAAAGAAGAAAAAAAACCTCGATAGCAGGAAAACATACAACTTGATTTAAAAATGGGCAAAAGACCCAAATAGACCTCTATCCAAAGAAGACATAAAAATGGCTAACAGGTATATGAAAAGGTGCTGAACATCAGTGATCATCAGGGAAATGCAAATCAAAACCACACACCTGTGAGGATAATTATTATTAAAAAGACAAGAATTAACAAGTGCTGGCAAGGATGTGAAGAAGAGCGAACCCTTGAACTCTGTTAGTAGGAAGGTAGATTAGAGCAGCCACTATGAAAAACAGGAGGTTCTTAAAGAAATTAAAAATGGAAATTACTGTGTGATCCAGAAATCCTTCTTCTGGGTATATGCAAAGCAAATGAAATCACTAGTTTGTAATAGAACTCCCCTTCCACATACATCACAGCATTACTCAGAACAGCAAAGATATGGAGATAACCTAGGTGTCCACTAGTCAATGAATGGATAAAGAAACTGTGGTGTATACAGTCATGCATTGCATAACATTTTGGTAAACAATAGGCTATATATATAGCAGTGGTCCCATAAGATTATAGTACTAGAGGAACAGTACCTGTGGCTCAGGAGTAGGGCACCAGCCCCATATGCTGGAGGTGGCAGGTTCAAACTTGGCCCTGGCCAAAAACTGTAAAAAAAAGATTATAGTACTAGGCTTGGTGCCCATAGCACAGTGATTATGGCACCAGCCACATATACCGAGGGTGGTGGGTTCGAACCCGGCCCAGGCCAGCTAAAACAACTGCAACAACAAAAAAATAGCCAGGCATTGTGGCCGGTGCTTGTAGTCCCAGCTACTTGGGAGGCTGAGGCAAGAGAATCGCTTAAGCCCAAGAGCCTGAAGTTGCTGTGAGCTGTAATGCCATGGCACTCTACTAAGGGAGACATAGTGACACTCTGTCTCAAAAAAAATAAAAAATAAAAAAGACTGTAGTACTATATTTTTACTGGACCTTTCTACTCATATGTTCAGATAAAAAAAATATTTACCATTGTGTTACAATTGCTTAAAGTGTTCAGAACAGGCTGGGTGCAGTGGCTCACTCCTGTAATCCTAGCACTCTGGGAGGCCAAGGCAGGTGAATTGCTTGAGCTCACCAGTTTGAGACCAGCCTGAGCAAAAGCAACACCCCATCTCTACTAAAAATAGAAAAACTGAGGCAAGAGAATCACTTGAGCCCAAGAGTTGGAAGTTACTGTGGGCTATGATGCCACAGCACTCTACCTAGGGCAACAGCTTGAGACTGTCTCGAAAAATAAACAAATAAATATAAATAAAGTATTCAGAACAGTAAGTTGTTTTGTAGTCTAGGCAAAATCAGCTACACCACGTAGCCTTGGTGTATAGTAAGCTGTTTGTATGAGGACACTCCATGGTGTTCATACAATGATTAATATGCCTACCAAAGCATCTGACAGACCATATCCCCATTGTTAAGTGATGCATGACTGAATATACAACAGAATATTATACAGCCTTAAAAAGGAGATCTTGGCCAGGCGCAGTGGCTTACACCTATAATCCTAGCACTGAGGGAGGCCTAAACAGGATAACTGCTTGAGCTCAGGAGTCTGAGACCAGCCTGAGCAAGAGCAATCCTGTCTCTACAAAAAATAGAAAAATTAGGTGGGTGTGGTAGCATGCCTCGAGTCTCAACTATTTGGGAGCTGAGACAGGAGGATCACTTGAGCCTGGGAATTTGAGGTTGCAGTGAGCTGATGACACTACTGTACTCTAGAACCAGGGTGACAGAGTAAGACTCTATCTCAAAAAAAGAAAAAAAAAACCCAGGAGATCCTACCATTTACCACAACATGATTGGATCTGGAGGACATTATGCTAATTGAAATATGCCATGTATAGAAAGAAAAATATTGCATGATCTCACTTATATGTAGAATCTAAAGAAAATGTCAAATTATATATAGAGAAAATAAAACAGTAATTACCAGGTTGGGGTATGGGGGTAGGAAATGGGTAGATGATAGGTCAAAGGATACAAAGTAGTAAATTTGTAGGATAAACAAGTCAAAAGAGCTAATGTATACATGAGGATTATAATAGCTAATGGTCTATTGTATTTTGAATTTTTGCCAAATGATTATAACTGCTTTTGCCACAAGGGAGACAAAAATGGGTAACTGTGAGATGATGAATATGCTGACTTTTTCACTATAGTAACCATTTTACTCTGTAAGTATCTTTTTTTGTTTAAGAGACAGGGTCTTGGTCTGTCACCCAGACTAAAGTGCAGAGGCACCATCATAGCTCACTGTAATCTTAAACCTCTGAGCTCAAGCGATCCTCCCGCCTTAGCCTCCCAAGTAGGTGGGACTACAGGCATGTGCCACCACACATGGCTAATTTGTTTTGTTTTGTTTTATTTTGTCTTGGTAGAAATGGGGTCTCACTATGTTACTCAGGCTGGTCCCAAGCTTCTGTCTCAGCTTCTCAAAATGCTGAGATTACAGGAATGAGCCACTGTGCCCACGCTATACACGTATCTTATAATATCATATTGTACACCTTAAATATACACAGCAAATTTTTTTTTTTTTTTGAGACAGAGCCTCAAGCTGTCCCCCTGGGTAGAGTGCCATGGCATTACAGCTCACAGCAACCTCCAACTCCTGGGCTCAAGGGAGCCTCCTGCTTCCGCCTCCCAAGTAGCTGGGACCACAGGCGCCTGCCACAACGCCCGGCTATTTTTTTGGTTGCAGCCGTCATTGTTGTTTGGCAGGTCCGGGCTGGATTCGAACCCGCCACCTTAGGTGTACGTGCCTGGCGCCTTAGCCAGTTGAGCTATAGGCGCCGAGCCCACAGTAAATTTTTTAAAGTAAATAGTTTTGAAAAAAAAGAAAATATATATGTATATAAAGAGTTTTGACTTCTCCTGATCCCCATGGGTCAGCAGACCATACTCTGAAAATGCCTGATCTAACATATAATTTGAGGTAACATCCCAGAACTTAAGTTTCCAAATTGAAATGGCATACTGAAGTGGATAAATGCCCAATGAAGTGGATAAAAATACACTCACATCAGGCTTATCATTATGAAATTGTGGAACACAATGGAGACAGAGAGATCCTGTCAGCTCTGAGAGAGTAAAAATAGGCCAAACCCAAAGGATCAGAGCTCAGAATGACTTTGACCTCTCACAGCTACATTAGAAGGCAATAAGCAGTGCCTTCAAAATGGTGAGGGCAAATGCATTCTAACCTAGACTTCCATATCCAGGCAAACTGTCAATTAAGAGTGAGGGTAGAGATTAAGAAAACACATATTCAGACATCAAGGGTCTCAACAGTTTAACTTCCTAGGCGCCCTTTGTCAAAAAGAGACTAGGGGAGGTACTCTACTAAAACAAGGAAGTGAACCAAGAAAGAAGAGACCTGGAATGTGGAAAGTGAAAGACTGACCCAGGGGAGAAGCAAAGCAAGTCGGCTGCCAGAGGGTGAAGATGACAGCTGTGCACGCAGACTGGGAAGCAACCAGACTGGACAAGAGCAGGGCAGAGAGAGCCCGCGGGAGGGAAAAGCCCAGCACAAAGTCAGGACTGCAACATCCAGCTACCCCCACCCTCCAGAATAATCTTCTCTTCCATTGCTCTTTGTGAAAAGTCACTCTCTTGCTCTCCCTTACACTTGGGCCACTTCCCGCCTTCACCTGTCCCTGGTTCAGAGCCTTTAAACTGCCCTCTGATTTCTGATTTCCCATATATCCACCACCTCCAGTCACATCTGCCAGCCCCAGTGACTGTGCTGACACACACCCCCACCCCAGGTAGCAGGGTGGGGCCCACCTTGGGGAACATGGTCACCCTGCTGTTCAGGCACTCTGGGCGCTTCTTCTCCAGGCTCTTCTGCTTGTCCATCCAGGTCTGCAACCTGCGGTTCTGCAGGTCATCAATGTTGTCCAGGAAGACATAGAGGTTCTGGGCCTTGTAGGGGGCCCCTGTTTCTTGCAAAATTTCTATGTGGTTGATGACTCCTTGTCTGGAAAGAGAGGAGAGGTGAATCAGGAAGAAGAGAGGCCTCCTCTTCCCCCCAAGTCTATTAACCAGAGACAACTCTGGGAACAAGAAAAGAAAGGAGGTTGGGGACAGCTGGGAAAAACAGTGCCGCAGTGTGGGAGTTGGTATCAGGTGAGGAGGCTTGGGGCTGGAATGGAAACAGGAAGAGAAAGTAAAGTGAAAAAGGATCACGTTAGGTGGGTTATGGACCAGACGGTAGGAAGAGAGGAAGAAATGGGGAAGGGGTTTAGAGGAAAAGCCCACTAGGGACAGCCACATGTGTCCTAGCTCCTACATCTTCAGGGGTTACCCAGGACCCCAAGGCCAAGTATGCTTTGCTAGTCCCCTCCTTGTCCAGGAGACCTTGTCCAGGTCTGGGGAAATTCTCCTGACCTCCCTTGCCCTGTACTCTCCCACCAGGTTTTGGCTCAGCCCACATATTGCCAGGTGGGTCCCAGGGAGGACCTACCGGAGATTCTGGAAGTATCTGCAGAGGATGTATTTATGGCACAGTTTGCGCAGCCGGAGTCTGTTCAGCTCCATGGGGGTGGCGGGGATCTCCAATGCCTTGCTGCATTGGTAGTGGGGCAGCCCCAACTCAGCCTCCTTACGCAGGAGCTGCAGACTCTTTCTCTGGGCCTCCATGTCCATGTGGCTTACTTTCTTCTTAACAGTTACCCGTGATGTCTGCAAAGAGGGCCAGTTCACCCTTTGCTTGGCTGTCCCCATGGCAGGAAAGGAGGCAGATTTCTTGGGCTTTGTGGGAACATGGGCTTTTTGTTTATAAGTAAACTCAATTGAACTTGTGGGTCTCCGACTTCCCAGGGTGGAGGGCTGGGTGTTACGGGACCTGGGCAAGCGTGGCCTCCTGCTTTGGTAAGCAGAATGGGTCCGGATTTGGTGGGGCTCTGGCTTTGCCAAGTCCCACCATCGACTGGTGGGTGTGAAGAACGTCCTCTCCATGCCCTCTTTTGGCTGCTCCAGCTCTCTCCTTGGGCTCTCTTGCTCCTTTTCTGGCTGGAGGAAGCTGTGCTGCTGTTGCCTCACAGCATCCTCCATCTCCCTCTGCCGCAGCATCTCCCACTGCTGCAGCTTCTCCTGCTGCCCTTCCTCCAGGAGGGCCCATTTCTGACATTGCAGCCACGTCTCCTCATCCTCCAGCCACTGCTGCCCCCACTTCTCCTGGTGGAGTGCCTTCTCCCAGGGCTGTGCCTCACTCTGTGAGGGCACCTTCCAGGAGTCCTTTAGAGATAGCTGCTTCCTAAAATGGAAAGAGGGTCCTTCTTTCTCCTGGAAGTAGTTCTCCTGGTCTTTGTCCTCGTGGCCTGCACTTTCTGCCACCAGTTTTTCACATTCTTTAGGAAACTTGTGATCCACTGAGGGTGCTGACACAGGCTCAGGGCCATCAGTGTCCTTGCTGCTGAAGAAGTCTGCGATCCTCGAATGCACGGTCATGGTGGAAAGCAGCTGAGGTGCTGAAGGTGGAGCACCACTGTCCTGGGCTGTGGCCAGGGGACTTGGGGACAGTGGTGAAAACAACACCTTGGGCTCCTGTTGGGTTTCCTCCATAACTGTTTCCTTTGGGAGAGTCTCTCTGTCAGAAGGGCTTGGGGAGTCAACCAGAACCTTGACCAGGTCTTCTGCTTCATCCCCATCAGTCTGAACCATCTTCAGCTGGAACTCTAAGGCTTGTTTTATCAGGAGAAGGCCATGGCACTTTCCCCCTAGAATTTCTAACTGCTTCAGGAGAGCATCCCTATTACTTTTAAGGATTTGAATGGACTTCTGGAAGTACAGCCTCTGGCTATTTAGCTCTTTGGTCATCTCTATTTGCAGGTTCTTGTATTTGATCTCCAGGCTCCTGTTCTCTTTCTGCTGAAGGGTCAAAGCCTTGTTGAGGTTCTCCACCATGGCCGACATGTACCTGATGGCTCTGGCCTCCCCCTTGTTGAACATAGTAGAGTCTAGGAGCTCCTGAAACATGGACTTCAACTCAGAGACCTTCGTGCAGGTGGCATGATTGTCCTGGAGCATCTGCTCTGGGCTTGGTGGCTGAGAATTTTGTGGACTTTTTTCCTGCCAGCCCTGCCAGAAGGTGAATTTGGACACTGGGAGTGGTGGAGAGAAAAAAGGGCAACAAATGTTCATGATACCCAAGGATTACACTGATTCTCTAAACCCTGTTTGGCCAAAATTTCCTCCCAACCTGCTTAGGGATTTGACAAGAATAAGGACCTGGGGAGCCAGGCACGATGGCTCATGCCTGTAGTTCCAGCTACTTGGAAGTCTTAGGTAGGAGGAATCTCTTGCACCCAGGTGAGCTGTGATCATACCACTACCCTCAAACAGAGCAGGAACCCATCTCTTAAAAAAAGGAATAAAGTGATGGAGCTGTAAGTGGGCCCAGGGGAAAGGGCGTCAGGAAGAAACTATGTTGGTGGGTCCAGAGCTGGTCCCGAGGCTCCCTATGGGGTCTGCTAGCTCCACAGTGCCTGCAGAGCCCAGAGTAGCCTGTAATAGTCAATCCAGTTCAATCCAATTCAACATACTTTTGATCCTCCACATCCCCCTGGAGTAGAGTTGTTTTTCTAAACATGCCACTTCTCAGCCTCAGTATCTGTGTTTGGCTCCTTATCACCAACTACCCAAACACTTAAACCCATCTGGGAAGCTTTATTTACCTTTCCTATTACCACTAAACTGTGCTTGTAAAGAATTTATTATATGGTCTTGCAATAAATGAGTAATGTCTTTTTCCATTTTGGGGATCACAAACTACTCTGATACTCTGATGAAAGCACTGGACCCTCTCTCCACTGCTTTCATCAGAGTATCAGGAAAATCAGTGTATTAGGAAAATTGACTAAACATTGATTGTGCATGCCATGTTCAAGCCCATTGATGGATTTTAGTTCCCGTAAGGCTGGATCATAGTAGTAATTGTACCTCCATGCCTACTATGTGATGGAATAATTATCTTGGAGTATCCATTCATTTGCCTGTTCAGTAAGGATCACTGACGGAAAAAATAGTGGCTAACTTTGGATGAAGGAATATAGGAAATACGGAAAGTAAGTGAAACTGACATTAAGCTAGCATCTTTCTAACACTATCAGACAGGCCAGGTGGCCTAGTGGATTCAGAGCTTGGATTCTGGAATCAGATAACTTGGGTTTGAATCCCATTTTCCCACTTGCCTGAGGCAAGTTTCCTAACTTCTCAGTGTCTTAGTTTCCTAATCTGAAAAATGGGGATAATCATAGCATCTATTTAATAAAACTTAATCAGATTATGCACATTTAGTGCCAAGTGCAGGGCCAGGTACCTACCATGTTTCCCCGAAAATAAGACACCGTCTTATATTTATTTTGTCTCAAGAAAACACACTAGGGCTTATTTTCAGGGGATGTCTTATTTTTATTAGGTATAATACAACGATCTACATTTATTCAAATGCAGTTAAGTCATCTTCTTCTGGAACCTGACAGGGGGAGCCAACCTTGTTGGTGGGCTGGCGCTAGTGATGTGTGAACTCCTTTCCCCTAGCCATTTGCACGTGCACAATAGGATGCCTGCAACCGTGGTTACCACACACGCACTCGTGCAAGTGCAAATGGCTGGAAGGAAAGAGCTGTGGCCAGTAAAAGGTATTCCAGTCTTCCTTACCACTCTGCACCAAAATGCATGGTGTGGCTATGCACATATGCTGCATAGTCACACCCATCACTAGGTCTTATTATCAGGGTAGGGCTTATATTTAACAAATGCATAGAAATCTTGCTGCTAGGGCTTATTTTGGGGGTAGGTCTTATTTTCGGAGAAACACAGTAGTAAGTGCTTGAGAAATAATCCTTAAAAAGAAAGAAATAAAACACAATCTATGCCCTTAAGGAATTTATAATCTAGCAAAGAAATTAGTCAAATATACAAATAACTATATTTTAAGATAGTATGATAAAGATTGCAAGGGATTGTTTTTTCTACCCTCTTTTCCCTGCCTTTGCCCTCCCCCTAGCTATCAATATTACTTGACCAATAATAAACCTGACCATGAGACTCGATTATAAATGCTAATGATATCTGGTTTTTGTTTTGTTTTATTTTGTTTTGAGACAGAGTCTCACTTTGACACCCTCAGTAGAGTGCTGTGACATCATAGCTCATAGCAACCTCAAACTCTTGGGCTCAAGTGATTCTGTTGCCTTAGTATCCCAAGGGACAGATTACTATGGGTGCCTGCCACAACACTTAGCTATTTTTACAGATTGGGGGGCGGTCTCACTCTTGCTCAGGCTGGTCTCGAACTCCTGAGTGCAAGCTATCCACCCACCTTAGCTTCCCAGAGTTCTGGGATTACAGGTGTGAGCCACTATGCCTGGCCCTCTTTTTGTTTTTCCCTTTTTTGGAGACAGAGTCTCACTCTGTTGCCCTGGGTAAAGTGTTATGGCATCATCAGAGCTCACAGAAACCTCAGTCTCTTGGGCTTAGGCGATCCTCCTGCCTCAGCCTCTCCAGTAGCTGGGACTATAGGTACCCACATGACACCCAGCTAATTTTTCTATTTTTAGTAGAGACGGGGTCTCCTTCTTGCTCAGGTTGGCCTCAAACTCCTGAGCTAGAGCAATCCACTCGCCTCGGCCTCTCAGAGTACTAGGATTACAGGCATGAGCCACTGCACCTGGCCTGGCATCTGTTATTTTTTAAGCCCTGAGCATGTTTCCCAGCATGGTGTCAGATATCTCACACATGTGGAAGCTTCCCTATAACCCTGAAGGTGTGCAGTCTCCTTCTGTTTTTATATATGAGGAACTGAGGCACAGAGAAATGAAGTAACTTTTTCAAAGTCAGAAAAGTGGGAAAGACAGAAATTGGCAGAGACAGGATTCAAACTCAAGTCTGACTCCAAAGCCCATGTTCTTGAATAAGATTAAGTCACATCTGTAATCCTAGCACTTTGGGAGGCCGAGGCAGGTGGATAGCTTGAGCTCAGGAGTTTGAAACCAGCCTAAGCAGAAGTGAGACCCCATCTCTACTAAAATAGAAAAAGTGAGGCAAGAGGTCACTTGAGCCCAAGAGTTGGAGATTGCTGTGAGCTATAGTACCACAGCACTTAACCCAGGGCAA